GTCCTTGTCATCCAGGAGCGTTTCCTTCAAAAATAGATGAATAGATAGGTAGATGAATAAATAGATATAGATAAATGAATAGATAGGTGCTCGAGATCTATCGACTGATGTCCGCAAGACCGTCAAAGAAGCGGTACTTTGTATTTATTGATAAAATATTTTTGATATTTTAGTGTTTCTTTCAAAAAACTCTCTTTCTAAGGATTATCCCTCGAAGGATTTGCTTAAAAGAGCGATCAAAATTTTTTGTCCACCCCCATTGTCACATGAGTAAACTAGATGTAACATTTATTGTTTTACTGCTGTCACGTTGAAATATACTTTCAAGGATACAAGCATGTAGACCACTTTTGCTTAGTCTGGCCTTACTCGCGAAAAGTAGGCCGTGCATATCTCGGACTGGGTTCATATTGAGACTGGTGTTTGTCCAGGGCAAAGCTAGATTGACATTAAAGATAAAAGACAAAGAAGCTACCGTAAACTCTTTGTAGTGGAGTAGATATAATAGATAGATAAACTGTATGTATTTTTATTGATTTTTAATATTACTGAAAGGGCTGCTGATATTAGATATTTTGAAACACAGGTAAACCAGACACAACGGCCCCATTCCGCAGAAGCCGCAAAAAAGTGATTATAAAAAAAAAAACATATTATGAAAAAATGAATGCTAAACTGGGTCCTTAGTTAATTTTTTCAAAAACGGGAAAACGAGACTAGAAATCTCGCGAAAACTTTATTATTAATACGAACGCAGAGGTTAGACTCACATCCACATTCGTTTCAAAGTTTTCAAGGACCCCTCTATCTAAAGTTAAATGATTCTCTAGACGAAGGCTTCTACAATGATCTTCCGTACAACTTTCTACTCTTTCAGGCAACGTTAATTTGTCGCTATTAAATAGAAAAAAATCAGCATTTAGATTACCTACAAGTTTCTGTATCGGCTCTTCCAAGCTGCATTTCGATTGCGGATCCCTGACCTGACAGCATTGTATAAGATACGAGGCCCTCTACTTGTGCGCCTTCTAATAGTTTAGGTTACTTTTACAGCCGAGATTTGACAGATAACTCCGAATGAAGTCTGTATATTTTCGTTTGAATCGCACGAAGGAAAGCTACAAGCTGCTATCGTTGACCGATTGCATATGAGGACCTAATAAAACACTTATCGTTTACTATAAACAAGATCATCGGTCGTCAACTATAAGATTTGCGACACACGGTATTGCATGCGCGGAAGCCGTATAGTAATGCCAATAGGTTCGATCATGCTGTACTTTCTACACGTTCCAACTGGGTATAAATGCTGCTACTGGCCTTAGGCGTACTTGCCAATGCGTTGCCAGCATATCTTCGCCGAAGCGATAAAATCATCATGATATTCTTCCGTTACAAAGCTGGAACAAACAATGTTGTCGGATTTTTGACTCTTAGTTGTTTGACTTTATGTTTACATTTTACCGTTTCTGGTTTCCCGGTCGTATTACTGCTGTTTGTTTTCGTGTCACTACAACACGGCCTCAACTATTCCAACTTGTAATGTTTTAAGAAGTCCATATTTGAGGAGATTTACGAAGCTAGTCTCGACGTATAACCTATATATTCTATCGGCTATGTGAGCGTTTTACATAAACCAGCAATATGGCTATATGTTCTCTGTTTGTAGCGAGCGTCGACGCGGTAACGTGGACGGCCAGGCCTCTAGTTCAAAGACCTCACGGGGTTGCTCCTTCTGGATACGTACTACTTACAAACGTTAAGTAGCAAGAGTTAGATATACGTATATGTGTATATACAAAATCACATGTGTGCGTATATGAATCAAAGTAATATTCGGAACACAATCCTAACGCTAAGTTTCATCCCCTCTGCTACTTTTTCCTATTTAGACTGACAGTATAGAGTACTTGGATACTTTCAACTAAAGGTTTTGTTGTTTACGCAAAATATATACATATATGGGGCATCGCGTCGTACATATGGGGTAAGGACTAAAACGTGTATCGAAGATTAATAATATATCGACTAGGTGCTACGGCTTATTAACCGCGTCTGAATTGTTGTCTGTGTTTTTAACTGTAAAACTCTGCCATCGCTACCAGCCACGCTGCAATTCCGTTATGCTCTCGTCTCTCCCATGCGGCTGCGCTATTCGTAACTCGGTGCGCCAACAATTCTACGTTTCGTTGCTATGTGTTCCGACGCGCCACGACCCTTGCGACTCTGTATGTGACAGTTCTCCATAGGTTCTTGTGCTGTCGCACATCTGTCCATCGTCGTCCCTGGCACCCTTCCTTCCTAAAGTCCCCAAGTTCGTTACGGTCAAAATCTAAGGTTTTCATACGGTATATGACCGCCTATTACCCGCATGGAACCTGTCTGATTGTCTTGTCCACCGAGTAATTTTCCATCGCCATCACACTTTCAAAACGAGCCACCCCTTCCGCCCCTTGCGTCCACGCGGACCACAAGCTGGGGCCGGGTGGAGGTGTGCTACAGGTGACACCCAAAAGTTGCTTGCCTTCTGCGACGATCTAGCTAGTGGTTTCGACGTTTTTATCTCCGTCCTATCTTCTACTAGAGAGCAGGTTGGACGAACATTCCCGGGCAGTCCCCAGGTCTCGTGATTCTACAGATCTGATGGGCCGTGTGCCTTCCTTAAGCTACTAAGTCGCGAAGAACTAAGCCCCAATTTGGATGCTGGCAGTATACCGATTGGAATATTATATCTTGGCCGTACTAACAGTCCACTGTTTACCCTATTCACTGTAATAATGTACTATTAGTAAGACTTAAACTATTGTCTTTAACCTGAAACAGCTGGCAATCTTTTTATAATATGCGTCAATGTTACACGATGGTGTTACCATCTTGTGGCAAGCATTTTCTTGCCTAAATAATAAGGTTGAAGGCAACTTGAACCAGTTGTGAGATCAGCAAGCCACGGGCTTATTTGTTACTGTTTATTATTCACCTCTCTCTTTTTAAGCCGTATTTCAGCCATCTTGTATCGCCAAGTAGGCGGTAATGGGAAAGTGTTCAATAATAATGATTATTTCAAATTTTTGATTTATTTCAAACCAATTGATTCTGCAATATATCCTTTGGCTTCGAGCCTTTGTCCTACCCATTTTGGTCCTCATTGTGAAACTGCTTTTGTCGAAATTGTGATCCAATCCGAGAATTATAATAAGCGCTCCATTATGCTGAATATTTACTTAAGACGGTACAATTATCTTTATTTAACAGTGACATTTATAAGGGGAATATAATCGTTGCGTGCGTGATGCTACTGGTCCACATGTCACCAAAAATAGGTATGGGGAACTCAACGGAGAGGGACGTGGCATAAATTCAGCACTGAAGAAAAATAGATGCTAATGGTCTGTGAAACGAGTTAATTTAGAAAATATTGTTTGGTAATGAAAAAGTTAAATTAAAAAATTAGGAGGTTAGTATTCGGATATGGAGCACCAAGACGTATAGGACATCTAAGATTAGTTACGGCGGGGTTGCCTTTATGCTTTATCTCGGCAAGCAGTTGTTATGTTACTTTTTCGGTTCTTTAGAGACGTTTCTAAGACTACAGTTTCCAGCCCAGAAAAGGTTTAGCTGTTTTGGGGCGAAGGTAAAAGCAGAAGCTTAACTGTATTGAAGTAGTTACACATCCAGCTTACATCTAACTGTTGCCTTTCGCGTTGTATCATAAATTTAAATTAACGTGAACATCTTGCCTTAGTAGATGGACGAGTGTTCCTTTTAAGTCTGAGTTGTTTTGTGTCGAAGGGCCGGCAGCCACGAGATGGCGCTGAACTAGTGCTATTACGTTTGCTTCCGGACCTCTACTCGAAATGGTGCTGGCATAGTATTATATGTACCATTATCCATTCTACTAGCTCATTGCTACTGTCCTGAGTAGCGCGCGCGCCCGTTCACCGACATGCCATCCTATACAGTTCGTCGCGAGTCTTAGAAAGTGATATGTTAAGGTAGCTAGAACTGGGTATGGCGACGGGTAGTTGCTGAAGGAGACGACGCAGGCAATGGGGGCACAGCATGGTCGGCATGCGAAGGATGGAGTGGCGGACGAAGATGAGAATCGTGGATTTGAGGGGGAACTCAGGGACGAAAGAAGACAACGATTCATCGCCGCACGGCGAACGCTTTTCGATGCTGAAATAGTCGTCGTCACCAACGCCAGCAACAGTATCATCAGCATCGTAGTAAGTAATAGTAAGAAGGGTCGTTGCAGTTGTCGGTGCATTTTCTCCCTGTCGACAACGAAAAAGCTGACCGAAAGAGGTTCTCTGAGCAGTAGTAAAACGATGAGGAATAGAAGAAGGTGGCGGGAGCGTAAGGGGAAAAGAGGCGGCCGAGGAGGAGGAGAAATGAGAATAGGCACTCAAAGGCTGAGGCGACGAGGCAAGCCTTCGCTTTCGCCAGCGACACCGGAACTCCATTGAGGTGATGATGTTTCCGTTTGGAGAAGTGGGACATAGACGAGACGAAATGCGTGGAGAAAAACGGAAGGAGAACATAGGTGGGGCTGGGGCGACTGGATGCTGCTTCTTTCCGCCCTGTTGCGTTTGAAAGCTGATATTGTCTACAAAAAAAGCTACTGCATTAAGTTCGTAAAATTATGTGAGTGGATAATCAAGGCCCATATTTTGCAATAACAAAACCTGAAAAAAGTAAAGTAAAGAATTAGTCGCGTTAATTAGGTAACAAAGACCATCTGCACCGATCCTCTACCTACACTACTCTGCACAAAATGGAAGTACCAACGGATGTAAGCGTTACGTTCTACTGTAAACATAGTAGGTATACTACAATACTTATAGCTCTGAAATGAGAGAACACATCATTCTGGCTATATTTTCGATTGCCAACTCTCGTTAGCTACAACGCAACATAATCGGTGTGATAGCTTGCCTATTGTAATGGCTAAAGGTTATTACTAATATATTGACGATTATTACTATTGCCGGTGATTTCAGGGGAGTCGATCAACGCCGTCACCAGCGAGTGATGTGACCGGTGGGGCGCTGTCCTCGTCCCCGCCCTCCAGCGCCAAAAGCGGTGCTCCGCCGCCCCCCGTGGCCGCCACCACCGCTTCTCTGGTGGCGTTCGGGAGTCCGCTCTCCCCTGGCTCCGCCCCTTTCGGGAGATCCGGCCGCGCGCTGGCCTCATCAGCGCCGCCCTCGCTGGGGCTGTTCGGGCAGGATTTACCACCTGCGTTACGTCAGGGTCTAGGCCTGGATTCGCCCCTAGCCATGGCCACACTTGGGCCACTTGCCTCAGCCCTCGGCCCTTTGGGGGCGTCGTTGGCATCAATGGCACCAGCTACGACTGCCAGTCAGACAACCGGCACCGGCAGTCACACTCCCAGCCAAACGGGCAGCGGCCGCAGTTCTCCTGATGACGCTTTGAATTCACTGAGAACACCTTTATCACCTCTTGGAGGCTCTCCGGCAGCCTCTCCGTCGCCTCAACCTCCACTGGGGCTTCCATCGCTTTCGTCCCCATTGTCTTCGCCTCTTTCATCAACGCTCGCGTCGCTTCCACCCGCCGTCCTTCACCAAATGCACCAAAGTCTTCTACATGGACCCATGCCACTGCAACCACAAACATCCGCTGAGCACCGGGAACGAGAGCATCATCATCATCATCAGCCCCATCAACACCACCATCATCATCAACATAATCGGGAACAACGTGAGCGTGACAGAGAGCGGGAGCGGGAGCTTCATCGCGAACGTCTCGGCGGTGCTGCTGCCGTTGGCGCATTAGGAGCTTTAACACAACTGCGTCTCCAGGCATCGTTGAGTCCACCTAGCGGTCTCACCGCCAACGGCCACGGGGGACATCATGGGGCGTCGGGCGTCAACGGAGGACATCACGTACTCAACGGAAACACGACAGGCTCCCATCACCAACAACAACACGCGCTCAAATTCAACGAGTAAGTACAAAAACACAGCGTCTGGTACATATCACCTAATACACATATATATCTGTCACATATGTTAAATTTGGACTTTCTTCAGTTTTTTTGCAATTCTACCATGCTAATACAAGGCACTTTCAGTGAGCAGTGGTTTTTCTTAAAACTTTTTGAAAATACTTCTTTATATATAAAAAATTAAAGCATATGCAAGCTTCAAAATCTTGGCTTCCAATCATACATTCAGCCCCTGTATTTTATAGCTGTAGATCTTTTCAAAGGTTACGCAGTTCTTAGAGCAGCACAAGATGTTAACTTTCTCTGAGAAGACAGAAAGAAGGATGCTTTTTATATATTTTTGTTATAACCTTAAAGTAAAATGATGACATTTACGATAGAGTCACAAGTGAACCTGGGCTTGCCAATATGTGGAGTTCTCGATTTCAATACCAAATGAATTCAACTTATTTATAGGCCTAAACTTCCGTGTGCTGTCAATAACTAGAATGATAACTAAACGGACCAGTTAGATGAGTCCCTCACCGGACGTAATGCCAAGCCAGTTATCCCCCCCCCCCCCCCAAAAGGAATTCCCTTTTCAGAACAATGTTAGTGGAGGCGTGATTATTTGGACCTCTTGAGTATGCCAGGTCTCAGGAAACAAGTTCTTAATCAGAAACGTGCCCTGTTAATCAATCGAGCGTCTGCTCATAGTCTATCGAACGCATTGTCGACAATGACCAAGAACTGAGCAGTATTTCTTAGCTACATCGAAATTGAAGCCAGGTCTATATTATCTTTCTTTGTCATATCTAAATTATATGAAAACCATCGATTAACTGAAGCAGCTGAGAGCTGATACCAAGTTACACCTACATTGATTACGAAATTCAGTTGATAATAGCATGTTTGCTTTAAATGAAGCGTGTGCTTATTTGTCTTAGAAAATTGAACTTCATATTCATTCGCCTGGGTGGGGTCAGGCGCCATTTGAAAGCTAACATTGTCACTACTCCGAAGCCTTTTTGCAGAACTTCAGCCAATAAACGCGTAACATTTCAGTTCTAATACATGTAAATAAACCTCAACTGTTAGTGCCATTGAGTTATTGCTTCGAAAGCCGTAAGGGGGTTTCCCGCCGCCCCCTTCCTTTCGACTGTTTAATCTACGTGCAAATCCTGAGCGCGATTGCGTAGACCCGTGCGATTCCCAACCCCATTCTCAGTATATATATGCGTACAGGATGTTCGAAAAAAGAATAAAACTAGAAGCGACTTTAGTATAAACGATTTCGGATTTAATATAATAACGCAGCCAATGAATTCGAAGCTTTTCGTCTCGCGTTTTCCAATTTTGCAACAATAATCTAAGCCGGCGATTTCTTTTCAAAATTGTTGTCTACCGTGCAGAAGGTAGGGCTCCGTCTCCTCGTCACAATCAACCTTAATCCAACTATATATATTTAGTACCTTTGTATATATACAAAGGTACGGTTCTGCAATCCACCAAATTCGGTAATCATTTTTATGGGTGTTGGTGGTTTCCGTTGATTCATCACCGGCTTTTGCAAAGCAAGGTCTTCTCTACCTAAGGAAACCTTGAAACAATGCACGGCACTTGAATTGAATACAGGAAACGTTATTAGGATTTGTGTTTGATGGAATTTACTCATGTAGTGCGCAAATACAACAGAAAATAGTAATTTAAAAAGAAAGCTTAAATGGTCTAGTTCCTTTACCAATATCTGACACGAAAATTAACGACAGAATGGCTTGTGTCAATCAAAATATTTATGTTGACTTGACGGTTAACTGTCAGGACAGTCCTGCAACAATGGCAAAACCAAAATGGTAGAAATTGTCATTGGTTGCCTGAGCACTATATAAACCAGCCACGTTTTCTCGGTTGTGGGACCTGACCTGTTATGTGTGAACATGACGTCGGCATTTCGCTTGCTTTTCCCGCTATTTTTTTGTCGTATTTTCTTCGTGTTGCCTTCAGTTGTTTCGCAGTTTCATTCCCCCCCCCCCAGCATAGAGCGGGGGGGGGGGAACAGTAGCAGCTTTAGGCGTTCGACCACCCTCTTTTTTTTAGCACTGAGCGGAAAGCAGCAAATGTTGGGACTTGTTCTGGCACGCTTGTCTCGCTGCAAAAATAGGAGTAAGTAAAGAGAATAGAGCACTAAAAAGCAAGGCGAGGCCTAAAAAAGAAGTTCGCATACTTAATAAATTGCCGCTGCTGCTTCAGATTCTTCCCTCCACCCCTATCCTTTCTCACTACCGTCATGACTACCACCTTATTCGCTTGTGTCGTCCCTTACCTAAAGGGCTTCGCAGCAATGCCCCATCGTTAGCAAGCAAAGGGATTGCTCTTCTACGCCTGCTGCGCCGTCTCCTTTGAATGCTAGGGAACGAACCTGTTTGGAAAGACATCGGCCCATACAACTTCAAAGACGGCTAGTACAGCACAGAAATGTCGAAGCTTGCCTGCCTTCCACCTAGTAACTCCCTCAACGAGCAGCGTTGAAGAAAACTAGAGGAGGTGAAAACCCTTGTTTCTTGCCCCTTTTTGTCCCGCATCTACTGTTCATGAGCATGACAACGACCCTCTACTAGGTGACGGGCTAGATGTGTGCGACCCCAGCCTTCTCCACACAGGCCGCCCGCACTTCTCCTTTTAAACGTCGTAGCTGCCAGGCTGCTGCTGCAAGGGCCTGGTGGTCCTGCACCCCCTCCTCTCACTTTTCAGGCGCCAATCGGGGGCAAATCGGGTGACTATCGGAAGAACACGGTGACGGTAAAATGGAGGAAGCTGCTGAGCAGGGGGAGAAGGCAGATGAGCAGTCTGTTCTCTCAATGAGGTGGATCTACAACGGCGTCGGTCGGATGAAGGAGGCATTAGAAGGAGAGTCAGAACGAGAGACGAAAGATAGAAAATGGATGGAGAACAGGCAATAGTAGCCAAAGCAAGAGGGGTTGTCGTAGAGATGGATGCTTCCGATACAAAAGCAGTGGCGTCGCGCGCCGTGTGTGACGGTGTTGCTATTCCCCTAGCAAACGTTGTTCAACCAATGACGCTCATTTGCATTTCTCTAAGCGTCAACGCTATTGCATGAACGCGAAAAGAGACGAACTAACGAATAAGCGCACTAGGATACGTAGCACAACTATGCCGCTGGTGATAGAAAAGGGCGCGAAAGATTCGAGCGAGTTTCCTTCTTTTCGGGAATAACAGAAACGTGAGATTCCAGTCGAGCAGAAAAACGTTAAAATAATGAAGCCGTGAGAAGCAGAGCCACCATACCGATATGGTATCACAAACCAGACGATCCTGCGATACTAAAACAGAGGAATAAACAAACCTGGCCACGGGATAAACAGAATAAGACCCCTGTGCAAAAAAGGTTATCGAATAGGGTCATAGATCCAAACGGGGTGGCAAAAAAAATGCTGGTAGGCAAGAAAATGAGAACGGCAGAGAACGACTTGCAATGAGACATGGCTGACTGAGAAAAAGGAGAAAAACAATACACGAAATGTGTGCCAAATCGGAAAATAGGTGCGCTAAATAACATCAATAATGATAATGGAGATGCCAAGAACAGACAACAACAACAACAGAGAATGGTAGGCAGCACGGATCGTTCAATCAGTTATGCATGTATTCATTCATTCACCCCGACCGTTTTGTTTTACCCGGTACCAATATCGACACTCATTAGGAGCTGTCCCTGTTTGGGGTGGCCGCTTTTGTATCCGTTCGCTTTACGGACGCCAATTTTTTATTTGTGATTATTAGACTAATTAGGACATCGCAGTATTCAATTCACTGAGAAGTTTTAAAGATTCTTTCGATCTATGTACAGGATTTCCATACCGAACCAGCACGGGCAAGATTACTCGAATGGAAACAACGGCGCGATAATAGAGTTCAGTTCCACAACACAAATAGTTCTCACATTGAAAGTGCTTCTGTAAAGACAATGTTGCGCACCTGAATACCGGGCCGTCTGCTTTGTTTATGTGCTTAATAAAGCAGACAACTAAATGACGAGCAGGTACAACAACACAAACAAGCCGAGAGTACGGGCAACCTAAATTTAGACCTCGCCAAAAAATAGCGAAGAGATAAGGCCAAAATTGGTTTACTGTGACTGTATTGATATGAGAGCGTCGGGGTGGCAAAGGCTGGCTAAGAAACGCTGGCTAAGAAGAGCATGGGCTCTGTTAGCGACGAACTGGATTTTTTTTGGTCATACGTACGTTCTTCATTTTACTGTTGGTTTTTTTTACACGAAAAGGATATTAAAAAGTATCTGATTAAGACTTGCCATGGATTCGTGAATAGACGCATAAGGAAGTAGGTTGCTTGTCGTTTCCGCTTTAAAGGGTACCCCGAAAATCCTTAAAAAAAAAAAAAACAGATCTTGTGTATATTAAGTCTAGCTCAAACCTAAGTTTTAAGAATATACGCTATCTCTAAGCTTTGATATGTAGGTCTCTTCTGCTTTATTTAGTCCAGCGGTATTCGTAGATAACGAATGTACCTTCCTCAACGCCGATTTCTTTGTACGATATCGAATGTGTCTGTTGTTGTGCTCTGCCGGTGGGGTATCTTGTCTCGAGTCCGTTTTGTTGAAGCATTGGGTTGCGTCGGGTAAGACTGTGATAGTGTTGCATCGCTTAATCCAGCACTTGTCTGTATTTGCCACCATCTTTTCCACGGTCGGTTCGTTGACGATATCTCTCACATGGCCTCTTTCTTCAATAGCCGTCTATTATGCAGCAGTTTTCTATCTGGCACATCGTGGTCCTACTACTAGCTGCAGTCAAGGCTCGATAGGCTTCGCTGGCGCTGTTACCGGCAGTGATGCCCGAACACCTCCCAGGCCAGGCCTTTGTGCGGACCTTGTGTTGCTCTTGGTCTACCAGCGATAGGAAGCAAAATAAAGAGAAGACGCGAAGAAGAGATAAGCCACGTTCCTGGCATTCGAGGGCCAATTGGACATTGGTAGAGGA